AAGCTGCTGCTATTACTGCTCACCCCTGAGATGAAGAGATGAGAAAACGGAGCGGAATCCCATCTCAGAGTTGACCAACTTGGCAGGGTCTGCTGGAATGTGGGTTGTAAGGGCGGGACAGGACAGGGAGCAGGTTTTCTATGACTCTATGCAGACCGGGTATAGGAGAAGAGAGTCCTGGAGCCCTCAGTGGCTTTTGTAGGCTTTTATTGGGATTTACCAGGCACACGGCAGGCAGGATGCTGGGGCGCCGGGAGGCTGGCAGGACTCCCAGCCCCCAGCAAGTCTTCACTCTTACTGGGCTCTCCGGCGTTCTCTCTGCTTCTTTTGTTCCTGCTTCTTCTGTTTCTGCTTCTGCTTCTCTGCTTCTCATGGTTCTGCTTCTATCTGGTAGTTCTGTTCTGCTGGCATCTCCATGATGCCGCCCTTATAAGCCTAGTATGAGCCCAGGTGAATCCCATCTACCTATGCCCACACCCTACTCCAGGTGCCCGCCCTCAGGCATGCATTCAGGACCACAGGGTTCCGTCACCTATCCCAATGGCAGGAGGGCAGAAAAGCCTGATGCTTTTTACCTTACCCTACATGGGTGCTGCCCTGGTACCAGAGCATGGACAGCAACCAGAGTCTATCACCCTCCTTGCCCTGGAGTTAAGCACCACCTCTTCTGGAAACCCTCCTTCTTTCTCCTCCCCAGGGCAGATGCTTTTTTTTTTTAAATAAAGATTTTTTTTTTATTCATTTATGCATACAAGAACTGGGGTATAGGCCAGAGGTACAGGTGGTGAGAGAATTCACCATAGACAGTGTGGGGAAGCAGGAAAGGTGGTTCTACTGAAACACATCGCTGAGGGGAGCAGAGGGCCAGACAGGGGAGATCTGCTGCGCCATGTGGGTTAGCTCCCTGGCCAGGGATCAAACTCATGCTGCAGTGGCTGGAGATAGTTTGATAGCACTGAGACTTTAACCCCTGCACCACCAGGGAGGCCCTAGAGCAGAAGCTTTTACTGCAAGGCCACTTGGTGTCTCCAGCCCTTCATCAGAGTGCCTTTCTTCTCACTAGAAATATAGAGTCATTTTCTCTTGTCCTCAAAACTGTAAACTCTTTGGGAAAAGGCTGCTGTGCTCATACCCAAGACCTCCCTGAACACTCAGCGCAGAGTAGCTCAGCAATGTTTTTTTTAATAATTTGAGCAATGAGGGGTTTACAAATAAAAATCTTTAAAGGTGAATTTACTAGTGTGATTCAAAAGATAAAAATTAAGGAATGAAAATTTTTTATTTTCTGGGATTAGGAAGGTGTTTGGAAAGACGTGGCACCCATGTGTTTCTGACATGCTATTAAGCCTAATGTCCTTTTCATTAAGACAATGAATAGCAAGCGCATTTTAAAGGGGAGCGAGGGAAACAGGTAACTTAAAATAGCTTACGAATGCCTTTATTCTAGAACTATTATAGCAAAAAGTCATCAATTATTTTAAAACATTTGTCATAATTCATGACTTATATGAAAAAAAAGTCCCAGAGTAAAAGCCAACATAATGCCCACCCAGGCCCTCCTCACGCCCCAGGTATACTCAGTCTCCCCTGAGCTTTGGCTGCCCTGAGCTTTGGCTGCTGACAACTCACAGTTGCCCTTGGTGATGCTCCTTTGACCTCAGACAATGAGTTACTCATATGAAGGCATAAAATCTCACCAGGGGTCAGCTCTTGAGACATAACTCACTCTTGAGTTCCCCAGTGAGTCAAACAGAGGCCAAACTTGCACTCAGTTTAATTATCTCCCTAGCCTCTTCCCTCCTTTCTCCTGTCCCCTTCATTACCTTACAGATTTTTCTCAATAATGTTCTCTCTGTAAATCAAATGCACAAGGATCTTTCTACTTCTAGGGACGGGAACCCCAATGATATTCATAGCAGAGCAATTTCAGCTTCTGAGAATCAGTGACTCCTGCTTTCTTTCCTCTAGGCTTGTGGAGGGTTCAAGAGCAAGGAGGGATGACTTTGACATTTCCTTCCCACCCTAAACATTTTCAGACTAATTACACCTGCAATTTATGTTAATTTATTCAACATGACAATCAGGGCACTTCTTCAAGGAGCTTCAATTCTGTTGCTGTTAAAGTTTTTCTTAGTACCTAGTTTATGCCAGCAATGTGCCAGGAAGGTGTGAGGACTATAACAGTGAGAAAGATAATTTCTTCCCTCAAAAAAAAAAAAAATATCTCAGCTTCTAGGGATGCCCTTTAAGTTGGAGAATATGGGAATATGGAGTGACCAGTCCCATCTCATCTTCTCTTTTGATTTGATCACCTTAAATAAAGCACTAGCCTTCTGTCAAATTTAGCTCATATGGAAGGACATTTCTTTGTCTTCCCTTCCAGATGATACACACAAGGTGTCTGTAAGTCAAGTGAATTCAAAACTGCTCACAGGCGTATCCTTAAAGAGCCCCATGGAGGAGAACCCTGACAGATCATTGCCTTGTAAACTCCTTCCACATGCCTGGAGAAGGGAGTAAATGTGTTATTTCCTGCACATCTTCCCTGGATGAATACAGTTGTGGTTTTCGCTTTTTTTTTTTTTTTTTTAAGAAAATAAACCATAGCTTGCCTTTCCTCTGTTAATAAAATTGCCCCTGTTTGAGATTTTTTGACACAGCCTGGATGAAGCCCAGGGAAGTCTTCCCGCAGCCATGCCACATTTCTGACCCTGGGCAGTGCCTGTGCATGTCTGTGTGGGCTCCCACATGGCTGTGTGGCTGCTTCCCTGTCAGGCCTGGAAGGGTTTTAAAGCACGATGCAAACGATGTCCTTTTCAAAATGCCTTCATAGGGCCTCCCTGGGGGCGCAGAGGTTAAAGTCTCAGTGCTACTAAGCTATCACTAGCCACTGCCATGAGATCCATCCTGATCCCGGGCCAGGGAGGCACCCACACAATGCAGCAGACCTCTCCTGTCTCATGCCCTGCTCCCCTCAGGAGGGTATTTCAGAAGATCCACCTGTTTTTGCTCCCCACTCTCTCTGGTGAATTCTCTCTCTCTCTCTCTCTCTCTCACACACACACACACACACACACACACACACACACACACACACGTCCCACCTCTGGCCTAGACCACAGTTCTTGTATGCATGAATACAAATAATTTTTTTAAAAAAAAAACAAAATGCCTTCTTAACTGATTGACTATCTACACCATTATTAATTTGTATTTAATTAGCAGATCCAAGAAAAGATACATATATATTTAGGTATATGGGTGTGTTTGTGTGTGTGTGTAAACATAATTTATATCAGATGCTATCACTGCAGCTTTCTATCTAATATTTTGGCTGAATCACTGAAGTGAAAGAACAGAAGGAGTAGTAAAAAAAACCTACACTAGCTTGTGTATTAGAACAACTGCTATGGCAAACAACCTTAAAAGCTCTGTGATTTAATATAATAACATGAATAGAATTTTAAAAGGTAACATAAAGTTTGTTGCTTGTTCACAATCCAATGCTGTCAACAGGACAGGAGAGGCCTTCGAGAGCTACTTCCTGTTCTATCTAGTCATTTAGGGTCTCTGGATCTTTAGGAAACTCTGCTCTCCAGCACATGGCTTCTGCAGTTGCTACAGGAGGGGAAAGGAAAGTGGGGAATCATCGATGGGAAATTTTTATGGGCCAGAACTGGAACCGGCCCCTTTGCATTGGCCAAAACTCAACCATATGACTCCAACATAATTGCAAAAGGGTTGGAAAGCACAGCCTCAAAATTGCTCAGGCAGAAAAGGACCAGCAGAGATTCTAGTGAGCTCGAGTGTCCTCTACCATATCCAGTGATGAGACTCGCTAGTGCTCAAGTTTGCAAGCATGATGAAGGGGCTTTCCTATACCCTGATGCCATGCCTCCTTCGTGCCACCCTTTTCCCAACTTCACCCCATTTCCTTTCATGCAACTGCACTGGTACTCTAAAATTGGATGCTTTCAAGTAGCGAAAGGTAGCATGATTGTGGGGGGGGGAGCCTCAAGAAGATGAATTTTCATGAGCAAGATAAATAGAAGGGAAAAGTTCCCTGGAAAGTTGGCATGATTTTCAGAAAGGGAATTGGGAGAGGCAGTAAGGAAGACCAGGGAGCTTGGTTTGAGCTGTTTGGAGACAGGAATGGATTATTACCATATGAGATGAGACACAATGCAAAGTCCATCTCTCCTCGTCAAAGAAGGTGATGTTTTGAACAAAATGTTATGAACCTATTACAAAATTTAGATGGAAGATTCTCACATTTTTATCTGCATTTGAAAGACCAGCTTCCACAATTAAGAGCTATAACTAAGAGTAAGTCATTCTGTTCTATTTCTTAACACTCACTATAAAAATAACATACACATTCAATAATTTAAGAAAATATTTTTATAAAGAACATCTTTTGTTTTCTGCCTTAATCTCTTCCAACATGGAAAGGTAAGCAAATATGTATCCCTTTGCAAAGCCATAATGGCACACATTCAACAAAGCTTCAAAATCTGTAATCGCAGGAGGAAATGCATCCCCACCCTCTTCTCCTCCCAGCTGTTCCTGATGAATATAGCAGAGTTTCAGCGACTCTACACTAATTTATATTATAGATCTCTGTGTTATGGATTCCCTGCCCAAAGGTCTCAGAGACCTTAAAAGACACTTCATCTTTTTGTGTAATCATTCATTACCAAGAATTAATCCCCTTCCTCATTTGTTATGCTTGCTTTAATACAAACACATGCTGGAAACAAGATCCTGTTTAAATTTGTAAGTGGCATTTCTTACACCTAAAATTATTGCATTGGACAATCTAGTAGCGCCAACAGACACACAGGTCTTGCCAAGGGTAATTCTCATGAAGAGTTTAAAAGCAGTGAATCCTTGGAAGTCCAGACAAGCAACAGCACTTACCTCCCCTTACCCCCCAATATTTAATGGAATTAGGTGCTCCTATTCTGAAAGTTATGTAAACCACTGTTTCTTTTCTCCAGGGCTTTCCTGGAAAGGAAGGATCCTCTGGTCCTCCAGGACCACCAGGGCCAATAGTAAGTATTTCTAAAAACTTCTGGGGTGTATTCAACTTTAAAACATTTCATTTTTTTCTTTTTTCAAAATTTTATTATATTTTATTTTTAAGTCTTATTTATTTATTTATTTGGTTAGTTAAAGCACTTTCTTTCTTTGGAGAGATCTTCTATTGCCAGAACGTTTAGCTCCATAGTCATATTGTTATAGTGAAACAACTTATCCCTTTGTACACAGCCCTCCCTAAAGCATCTTTGAAAATATGATTATTCTATCTCTGAGTGACTTTGCTGTAGGATCATCTGCATTGCTTAGTTTTTATTAGACACAGTTTTAAATTTGAAAGAACTACATCTAACTGATAGCATGGAAATATCTCAAAAAAGATGTCTTCCCTACTATGTCAGTAGTTGGGAACAGATGAACAGTGACTCTTGGCATCTTGGGGTGAGTGGGTGGGAAGCTGTCACTGAGTGTGTTTGCTACTCCTTCTTGAGAGCTGTTTGTCTTCACAGAAAATAAGTGAGTCTTCATCTTTGCTCCATTTTCCTGCCTTTCTTAGGGCATTCCTGGAGCCCCTGGAGTCCCTGGGATCACAGGAAACATGGGGCCCCAAGGCGCCCTCGGACCACCCGTGAGTATGCAGCCAGGCAGTCCCACTACTCCATCATCACAAGAATTTATGTGTTTAAATTTACCAACATCTCTGTTGGTCAAAAATATGTAGTTAGTTTTGAGCTCTGCAGGAATCTATAAAGGAAACCAAGAAGCCCCCTGGGATAAGGATTAAGATTAAGATCTGTTGTTATGTTATGGCTAAAGACAAGTGGTCCCAACAGGAAATAATCAGCTAGGCTTCTGTTTATATATGTATTTCCATTGCCTGTTATTCTGTATTTGTCTAAGCAAACTCGATGCCATCTTGACAGGGATGTGGTCCAAGAGCTATGTGATCACTAGGCCCGGCTCCCCAGGGTAAAAAATACAGGGCATGAGAAAGTCAAGGATTAGTGAGAATGAGAGTAGATGTTTCCTTTCTAAATTCTTTTAAAAAGACAGCGTGGTTAAAAAAAAATTTTTATTTTGCTGTTGCAAAGAAAAAAGAGCACTTCTCATTAAAATACACACTCATGCAATAGCAAATAATAGCATAAATGAAAGTTAATGAATGGCATTAATTCAATGTTTGTGCATCTAATCTCTTAAGCTGGTGTTTAAATATGATCAGTGGCGGGAGTGTAGGATGGAGAGGAAAGAAATGGGCACAGCTGGGCCTGGTTCTTCATTTTTACAATGAGGTGGTTACATGATCTGGTCTCCTGAGTCACTTTGGGCATCTTCTGTGACTTGCAAGTCTTCCTACAGGGATAGTCAGCACTTTGATATTATCTGTGCAATACTAAGTCTCTAACCACAAACTATAGAAACTGAGATGTATAACTGTGCATACTTTGCAAATGTGCCAAAAATATGAGGTACAGTAAGATCTGAAGGGGAGATGAGTGAATTAGATTTTCATTGACTTCATAACAAATGACCACAACCCAGTGGCTTAAAACAACACAGATGTATTGCCTTGTAGCTCGGCAGGTCTGACCCGGGTCTTGCTGGGTTAAAATCAACATATGGGCATTTCCTTTCTGGAGGCTCCAGGAGAATATCTATTTCTCTGCCTTGCCTAGCTTTCAGAACCTTCTCATATTTCTTGGCTTCTGTCTTAACTTGTCTCAAAGTCAGGATTGTTGCGTGTCCGACCATTTTCCACAGTTACTTCTCCCTCTGAACACAGCCTGGAAAGGTTCTTGTTTTTAAGAACCTGGAGATTTCATTGGGACCACCAAATAATCTTAGATTATAGCCTTAGCTAATTCTAAGACCCTTAATCAATTCACATTTACAAGTCCCTTTTGTCATGCTTGGCAATAAATTCACAGGTTTTGGGGATAGGTCTTGGGCACGGCGGGGGGTCCTTTGCTGCAGTGAACAAGGTATTTTAGATACATTAGTTCTCATTCACAAAGACTCATTCATGAAACTCATTTCAGTCAGAATCCTAGCCTATGACTTATGTGATACATACACAGGGACAAAAACACACAGTTGTATTCTTAGTGACATCTCCTAAAACCACTTTCCCTTAACCTAAGAGGATTGATCCTAATCCAAAAGGGCTCTGGGCCCTTGGGAGAGGACAGAGGGGTGTGAGGAGCAGAGTGAGGCATGGAAACTACTAAGTCAGTAGCACCCCAACACACTGTTTATCCATCTGTAACTCTGGCATAGCCTCTAAATGTTTTCCCAGAAATAAAACACTTTTTTTAATTAAAGATTTATTTATTTATGCATACAAGAACTGGGGTACAGGCCAGAGGTATGGGAGGTGAGAGGATTCACCAGAGACGGAATGGGGAACAGAACAGGCAGATCTACTGAAATACACTGCTGAGGGGAGCAGTGGGCGAGACAGGAGAGGTCTGCTCTGCCACGTGGGTCACCTCCCTGGCCGGGGATCGAACTCGTGCTGCAGTGCCTGTGAATAGCTTCATAGTGCTGTGTCTTAACCCCTTGCACCACCAGGGAGGCCCAATACAACACATTTCAATAATATTGTCTTTGATTGTTACAGATCAACAGTAAAAGACCCTTGATGGGGGCCTGAGAGGCAGAGAGATTGAAACTCCTTGGTCTATAGATACTGGGTGGGGATCCAGCAGGAGTCTTAGGTGTCCTTTCAAATGCCAGTTGTTCTCCAAACAGTCCAGTCTAGACTTTTGCTTGGGCTTCAGGCCCTGAGCAGCCAGCTGCCTGCCTGCTGCCCGGCTAGTGTGACTAGCAAAGCGGGCTCAGTGTCATGTGTTCAGGCTGATTGATTTCCCACGGATGTCTGTCTAGGAAGGCAGGAGGGAAAGAGACCAAAAAAGACAGACTGCCCCACTGAAAATAGCAATAGGTTTCCTATAGTCGATGCCAGGAATGCTTGCTCTCTTATGCTCTGCCTTCAGCCGCCAGCTTCCTGGGGCGGGCGTGTGCTGTGCTCATAATTCCTATCTGAGACTAAAGTGTAGGCTCAACCTAGTGCCTCCCCTCTGGGGCAGCTGACAGTGAGGAAGCCCGTGGAAGAGAGGAATACAGGTGTATAGCTTGACATGGACACAGGGAGGTAGGTCCAGTGTTAAAGAGCCCTGGAGCTTCAGAAGTCAGGATCCCTGGGTTCTAGACACTGCCCTGCTACCACCTGAGCTGGCTGTGCCAGTCACGTCACTCTCTGTCCATCTAGCCTGTAGGAGGTCAGACTCCAAGGGTGTTCATTTAAAAATATTGACGGGGTACACTATTGTATGATATGTACAAGGTACATGGAGGGAAGGGACAAAACGATCCCAAAGATGGCCAAGCTAAATGTGGAAATTCTTTAAAGAAAATGATGTTTTTTATATAACTTGCTAAAAGAAAAGGCAAACCGTGAGAAATGTTTTAAGACAAAGACAAGAAAGTCTCTGAAAGTTCTGTTGAGAGAGAAAGACAGATTGAGAGTAAGAGACAGAAGAGAAACACCCCTTCTTCTGAGCTGACCTAGGGGGACAATGGATGCTGAAAAGGCAGCATTACAGTGGGGTCTTGAAAGCTGGGTGGGATTTCCTCCCGCCAAGACAAGAAGATAGCACTTTCTAGATGGGGACTGGAGTAAAAATAGAGCAAACGTAGGCCTCCCTTTGTCTTTTGTATATTTCAGTACTTTCAGCTCTTTCTCTTGCTTCATCACCACAGCTACCCTTTTATTTCAAGTCCCCTCCTTTCTCACCCAAACTATCACAGGAAGCCCTAGACACCCCCCCTGGCCTATGTTCTAATCCTGGTCTGCTCTATTCTCTAGCTGCCAGGGCTCTTTCCAGAAAAACATTGCTGTGTCATCCCAGGCTTGAATCTTTTTTTTTTTTTAACATTTATTTTTTATTTATACAAGAGCTAGGGCACAGGCCAGAGGTACAGGAGAGTGAGAGGATTCACCAGAGACAGAGTGGGGAGAAGAACAGGCAGAATGATGAAATACACTGCTGAGGGGAGCAGCGGGCGAGACAGGAGAGGTCTGCTTCACCATGTGGGATTCTTGCCGGCCTGGAATTGAACCCACGTTGAAGAGGCTGCAGATTGCTTTACAGCGCTGTACTCAACCCGCTGCACCACCGGGGAGGCCCCCAGGCTTGGATCTTCTCATTTATCACCTGGGGGTGGATCAGATGCCCAGACCAGCCCATGTGGCCCTTTTCCCTGGCCCCCTACTTTTGCTTCAACTTGATCTCTCATCTTTTCTTCACTTGAAGATGAGTCATCCAAAATTATTTAAAGCTCTCCAAATATTGTGTAGCTTCACACATCTCTGCTTTGAAGATATTCTCTTGCCTGTCTGAGCCGCATTCTCTACCTGGGGAGCTCCTGGCTATTTCTCTTTGTGGAGACATGCGCTTCCTGTCTGAGGCCACCTTCACCCCCCTCAGGCCGAGACACTGTCCTTGTCAGACTCTTCACTAAAATATGATAGTTCCTAAGGGGACAAATTTGTTAAAACAGGTTGTTTTCGTAGACCCTGGGTCAGAATAATAGAAGCTACCTAATATTTGTTAAAAGAAAGGAAGAACGAGCTATGGTTGTATTCTATTTGGGCCAGTTTCAGGTCCAAGGTTATCTGTAAGAAGGTTATTCTTATAGATTTGGGGTGAGACCGTAGGGACCTTCAGAACCAGGCTAGAATGCTTTAATTTTGTTTAACAGACATCTTTAATATGTGGAACTTGGACCATGAGAGCATTCTCTCCCCTTCAGCACTAAAATTCTATGACTCTATGAATGTAGCTTCTGTATTTCCTTTTCTTTACATTTCAAGTGTTCCTGAAATTTAAGGAAAATGTGTCACTTTTTTTTGCCTCCCTCTACAGGGAATATGCGTTTCCCTCAAAGCATACTTTGGTGGAGTTATGGGCCTTCTCTTGCTCAGGAATTTTTATTTTGTTTTTGTTTTGCTCTGCAAAAATCAAAGGATAGATGTCAGAAAAATTGGAATAAAAAATAGCTTCTTGCTGCACAGATATTTCACTAAATGGATCATTCACTGAGACCACCTCCTTTTGCTCCCTCCTAACAAGCTTCATGAGGCTGTCACGAGGGATTTCAGGCTCCTTCAGGCTCCTCCATCTCTCTACCGCAAAGTGGATTCTGTCATTTACCATATCACTTGCATTTGTACTGTGATTTCTTTTTCCATGTTTCAAACCTTTCAGACAAACCAATTTAATTAATGACAGCCAATGTGGAAATATCATTGTGTAGTGGCTCAGAAATAAAAATAATCAAGATAAAATGGATTTTAAGAAATAACTCAAGTTAAAAATCTGATTTTTGAATGATGGCTAGAGTTAAATTTGGGGTATATGTATCTGCTTTATTAAAAAATGTATTTAATTAGAAAAAATATTATCTACCCTGCAACAGAAGTTTCTGGCTTGCACACTTGTTTTGAGTGTTCTGTTTCATGGAGCCTAGCTGATCGGGTTCTGGCCCCAAGAGTTTCCTTTTTCTTACTGTGTGACTTTGGGCAAGTTGTTAAACCTCCCAATGCATCATTTTCCCTATGTGTAAAAAGGAAAGAATGTTGTTATAAGGAATATATGAGTAAATCTTACAAGAGTCTTGTAAGAATTTCATGAGTTTATCTTATAGGACCGTTGAAAGGGTTACATGAGTTGAAATGTTGAGAACAGTGTTTCGGACACAATCAAAGCAGCTTACGTGTTAGCTACTAGTATTAACTGTTTCTTAACATATTAAAAATGTGGAATGTTTGTTGGCCAATTTTTGTTTTTGTTTTTCATTTAATATCGAAAAGCTGGTTCAATTAAGGATTTATTTAGTGGTAACATTGGTAGCTCTTTTGTTCACTTAGACCTACCAGTGTAGAGCACTGAGGTGTTGTACACTTGGCCATCTGAGGAGTTTAGGGAATGAGAGAAGAGAACATAGCCAGTTTTCTATAAAGAATTGGGGTAAGAGGGATGCTTTGTAAATCTTGCAAAACTTTTTTAAATGGAAATTGAGTACATTTTAACAGCATCCATTCTTTCTAATGACCTAGCAGACCACTGCTTAGTATGTCTTAAATTTTTCCCCCTTTTTTGCAACTGAGGCAATTAAAATGAAGGACAATCGGTTTGTCATCCAGACTTGAAAAATCAATCATTGATTCATGCATTCATTCAATGAGCACATCTTTTAGGGTGATTTCTGATAAAAGCAGACCATCAGTAATCCCTGAGCTCTCTAAGTTCACTCAGGGGTCCCTGAGGAAGGTGAGACTAGTGGCTGTGTGAAGAATGGACTGGAAAGGAGGTCATTGCATAGGGAACTCACGTAGAAGGAAGCTACAGTTACTCTGGTGTGAGATGATAAAGGTAGAATCTGAGTGATAGAATCAAAGGGATGGATATGGAAGAATAGCAATGCAAAATGTGTGTGTGTGTGTGTGTGTGTGTATGTGTGAGTGAGTGAAATAGACATGCAATGCCACCATTGCATCCTTCCTTTACAATTTACCAATTTTCAGATCTTTGACCTCAGAAGCTATATCATAATCTGCCCATGTTTTCATACCTTCAGACTTGAACTGAAGTATCCCACCAGCTTTCCTTATTCAACAGCTTACAGACAGCATGTCAGCATATCATGCCATAGTTCAGCATCAATAACCATATAAACCAGTTCCTGTAATAAATCTCATATATCTATATATCATTATATCTGTTACTTATCTGGAAAATCTTGATTAGCCCATACAAGCTCTAGACTTCATGTTTGTGTTCCCCCCACTCCCCAAAAAACTACCCATATGTTGAAACCCCAAGATGATGGATGACATTAGGAGTTGGGGTCTTTGGGAGGTGATTCTCTCATGAATGGGGTTAGTATCCCTTAAAGACCACAGAGTGTTCCCTCGCCATTCTACTATGTGAAGACATAGCAAGAAATATGAAGTCTGCCACCTGGAAGAGTCAGAACCTCACTGGCATCCAGATCTTGGGCTTCCAGACTGAGGAACTGTAAAAAATAAATTTGTTTTATAAGCCAAAAATATAAATAGGCCAGGGGAGAAAAGGTAGAGCTCTAGCTGGCTTGGACTTGCTAAGGAGAGCCAATTTGTGCTTTTCTTTCTTTCTCTACTCTGTTTTCAGTGACAGCACATTTGTAGCTCAAAATCAGCTCTAGTAGAAGTATTTACACCTCTAAAGTGGTAGATGCCACCCGTCAGGACATTTTATTGTTCCAGAAAGCCAGTTTACCTGCACTCTGTGGGGTGAACCCAGAGTTTTGAGTTTGAGCAACTGTTACCTAAATAGAGATTTTGGAGACATTGTTGTGTTTGATTTGGAACCTGTTGAGATTGTGGAACAATTGGGAATAGTCTGACATGGTAGCAAGTTCCATGTAAAAATTCTAGTCACTCTCCTTTTGGGAGAGACTACCACAATGTTGCTCAATGAATCTATCTCACTGTCTCCGAGTTGAAACAAATAGATGAGGTCTTTCTCAAGACACATGTTTTGCATTATAAGTAATTTCATTGCAGACACACTCAAAACACCATTGCTTTGTCAGTAATTTTTTTTACAGTAATAGTGAAGTTTCTTCTGGGTCAAAGAGTAGCTAAGCTGCAGAACAAAATAAACTGAGAATTTATCTGAATATTCACTCCCATTATAGGGAGAGTCAAGAAGAAAAAATCACATGCTATTGTCCTAAAGGGAAAGCAGTATGAGGCTGTGGGATTTCATAAATTCATCTCCTCTTGAACTCTTGGGTTGGAAAATCCCTTCCTTCCTTTGGGAGATAGTTTTTGAAAAATTGAAATTATTTAACTATTCAACAAAGACTTGCAAAATAAATTATGAAGTACCGATGGAGTATAATTCAGAGTGGCATTAAGTGGGGATGGATGTGAATGATCTATTCAGTGAAACTATCTGGAACAGACAATATGGCGCATGCTCCCAATTTTGCACTAAAACATGTGTCTATGTATGCAAAGGTAGGAGGAGTAAACTGTTGCCAGAACAACTATGCTTGGTGGGATGATGGGTTGTTGTTTGTTTATTTCTGTGCTTGGGTATTTGGGTATTGATTTTTGCTCAGAATTACTAGAGTTATGAAACACACTTGAGTAACAGAAGAAAAGACACACTATCCTTATGCTCACCGGAGTACAGTATTACGTGTAACTTGACAATGTGACATTTTCACAGGGTGTTCCAGGACCAAAGGGAGAGAGAGGAGAACGAGTAAGTATCACTGCTCTGCTGCCCAGCCCCAGCTGATGGCACGCTGTCACCATGAAGCCTGATAAAAGAGGCCTGTGGACTATGATAATGACACATCCCTCTAATACATTCCTTCATTCCTCAATTCATTTGACTGAGCACTTTTTTCACATGGGAAACACCTGTTCCCTGAAGCCAGGAGACCTAGTTTCTGGTTGAGAAACTGCTACCATGCAACTAGATGTCCTCAGGTCCATTTCTTTTCTTTTCTTTTTTTTTTAAGAATTATTTATTTATTTATTTATTTATTTATACAAGCACTGGGTACAGTCAGAAGTGCAGGAGGGCGAGAGAATTCACCAGAGACAGAGCAGGGAGCAGAACAGGCAGAATGATGAAATACACTGCTGAGGGGAGCAGCGGGCGGCAGGAGAGGTCTGCACGCCATGTGGGACCCTTGCCCGGCGGCCGGGGATCGAACCAGCACTGCAGAGGCTGTGCGCAGCTTCGCAACCCAGTGCTCAACCACTGCGCCACCAGGGAGGCCCACAGGTCCATTTCTTAAAGGATAAAATGGGGAGATTCAAACTCATCTAACTCAGAGTAGATTTGATAAAGAAACTATGTTATGAAAAGACTTCTTGAAAGCAAAGGGTCTTTACCAGTGCCAGGGATAAAATGGGACTGATGGCCCAGCACTGGCACCCAGGTAGACGATGACAGGCATGGAATCAAAGAGTGGGATAAAATCAGTCTTTTGGGGGGGCCTTCTCTACCCCTTGAGATTTCATGCATCTGCAAACATATCTGTGCTGTCAGCTCCCATAGAAACAGCGGTGGCTTCAGGCTCATCCAGTTACCTCAGTGAAAACCTGAGCGATGAGTTTGACTGTGTTCATCTATAAAATGGGTTTACCATCTTTCCTCTGAATTGTTATTAGCATTTAATAAGCCCCTGCTTGAGAAAGTGCTGCATTTTATTAGCTCTAGAGAGCTGTAAAAGCTGCATGAAATATGTATATATTTTTTCAAAACTGTTAAATTTTTTTGTATCTGGCACCAGAAAGACTTACTAGGGTCTTTTAATTTCATAAAGGCTCTCAGGAACTTGGCACCACAAATGTTTTAGAGCTTCCTCCTCCATGGGTGCCATGGTGGTCAAGTCTGCCTGTTGCCGGGAGCCAAAGCACTCAGGTGGGAGGGACAGGTGACGTCAGATCCATGCCTCGGAAGTCCCACCACGTGGCTGGGCTTGTGGCTGAGTCAGGGCTGTGTTCTCTCCCCTTCAGGGTGACCTGCAGTCTCAAGCCATGGTGAGGGCAGTGGCACGGCAGGTGTGCGAGCAGCTCATCCAGAGTAAGTGCATCAGTCACAGATGTTGCTTTCTGCTCCCCACTTATATTTTATATATATTTTACATCATTCTTCCTTTTTGTACAATGTATGCTTTCTCCTCTCTGGTGTAGTCCCCATAGAATTCCCACCACCCATTCACCCGTGCACCGTCACCATAGTCCCTTGTGCTCTTCCTTCCCCTGTTTTGATCCCTCTCCCTACCCCTCCCCTGTGGGATGTCTGATTATAGTTGCCTGTTGATTTTGTTTTTTAATTTATTATAATTATTTTTTTCCTGATCTATTATTTGGTTCCCCTACATTCCTCCTATAAGTGAAACCATCCAATATTTTTCTTTTATTTCTTTATTTTCATTGAGCATAATCCTCCCCTGCTCCTACATTGAGATTTATTTAGGATGAAGAAGGTGTTAAGGTGTCAAGATAGTCACTCAGGTAATGTTTATTAGGATGGAGTCTTGACAGAAGAGTTAGGTTGAACTGGTTGGGTTTACGAGGAAAGTTGCATCTTTATTTGACCTTAGATCTTCCTGAAACTGAACAGAGAAGATTCCACACTATCACATTACTAACCCTCTGGTCACCAGATTATTGAAACAAAGTATACACCCATTCAAGAGGAAGATGGCAAATAAAATATACCCTTGGCAAATAAAATGGTAGAATATTTAAAGTGTGCAGTGTGATGATTTGATGTGTGCATAGGATGGGAAAGGATTCTCCCATCAAGTTAATTAACAGGTTGTTGGTTCCTGTTCCTTGTCCAAATAGGAACCTATCTTTCCTGGCAGTGTAACAACCAAAGAAAATGCCTCTGAAGCTTTGTCTTGTGCAGGGCTGCAAGCTGTACAGATGGCCGTGGCAAACATAGCTCAGAGACTATAACAGACTACACTGGAGTTCTACACCCATGCAACAGACACTTCTGTGTCTTTTGTCTACATTCACTTTTTGGCTGCTCAAGATCAGATCTTTTATACCTTATATTTTCCTGTCTCGAGTACTAGCAGTTGAAAGTTACCAGGCTAAGGCATTAGAAGCCAGGTTCAATAGATGATTCATGCTGTTGCTTTATATTTTCTAGTTTTAAATTAATACCTCCTTCTCATCCATTTCTTTTGCTGAGTCTATAGTCTTTCCCTTTATTCTTTAATATGTGAGCCAAACACATACACACACGCCACACAAATGATTTTTGTTGAACTACATGGGCTTCATGATAAAAATTACACTAGAACATACTTTGTATGATATCTACCCCATTTCTTCATTTTCTACTTGAATGTTCCCACAGCCTAATATTTCAATTACTGATTCCTGCTCTCTCCCTTACATTCCTCCCATTATGCACATCCACCATCTTCCTCCTGAATGGGTGTATACTTTGTTTCAATAATCTGGTGACCAGAGGGTTAGTAGTGTGATAGTGTGGAATCTTCTCTGTTCAGTTTCAGGAAGATCTAAGGTCAAATAAAGATGCAACTTTCCTCGTAAACCCAACCAGTTCAACCTAACTCTTCTGTCAAGACTCCATCCTAATAAACATGACCTGAGTGACTATCTTAACACCTTAACACCCTCTTCATCCAGAGAAGTTTGGGAATCTCTTAAGTATCCAAAGAGGCCCTAGTGGCTGTGTCCAAAGTAATTCCATCTGTAGTGGAGAAACCTGGCTCTCACCTTAGGGAAGACATGAATAAAGGTTTGCATAGGCTTGAGAATTATTAGACAAAAATCTAAGGGTAAGCTGAGTGTAAAGCTACTATAGAAATACTCCCTATATTTCAACTCTATTTAATCATATATTATGTTGCCCAAACTAAATATATATAGAAAGAGAGAATTTACTAGTTAAATAAAACTATTCAGGATTAATACCAAAGTAATATCTTTAAAAACATCATAAATTATAAAGGGAAGTTGAACAGAAGTCACTTTTGTAGTAGAAACACATTCAAAGCTAACCTATCTTGGATTTTTTTGTGGGTTTCTCATTCCAAGTATACAAGGTGTTTAAATGAATAGGTATTTGTTTCAGGAAACCTGAGGGTTAACTCTTAATATGACTCACTGATGACAGTATGTGAAAGACTTCACAGTATTTGCTATAGAATAAAAATCTTACATAAAAATGGGATTATTGAAAAATATGCCTTAAAAACAGAGTTTCCCCCTCAGGAGTTCTCAGGAATTCTTGTGAGTGACTTTTAGGGAATGGACCCCCGCAGAGGATTACACGAGAAAGCTCAAACAGGCCTGAAGCTTGGGAGGCCCTGCCCATCTGTCAACACAGCTGCCATTGTATTTGGCTTCCCCAACAGGGCCCAACCTGCCTGGCACTGCATTTCTGCTCCCTCCACCATCTTCCCCAACTCACCCCAGGCTTCTCCAGGCTCCTTACTCTGAGGCTCCTTCTCAGAACTTGCCGTATAGGTTAGCATATAATCCCTTAGAAAGTCACTTATCTGTTTTTTTAGTGCAGAGGTAATACAAGAATGATGCCAGGAAGGGTTGCAGGGGAAACTGTGTGAGGCCAAAGTGTTGACAGCAAGAGAAGTGATGAGGGACAGCTCCAGTCAAAGGAGGAAGCTAAAAAAGCAGATGCAGAAATATCTGCCCCACCCAAGCAATCCTGGACACACCTTCTGAGGGCCCCTGAGTCACCAGGGAGCCCATCCACCTTCCCACCATGGGCCTAAGAATGCACTGAAGATATTGTAGAAAGAATTCCTCTAAAAATGGTTACTATTCTGTATTGAGGCGGAACCCGTGAAAAGGGATGTCCTCTAGAAAATTCACTTCTATAGGAAAATCGCTTCTGATGGTGCTGGAAAAAGAGACTTTGTGGTATCAAGTACTTTATCAATCTGTATTTCTAATGATTAAAATACATTCATCCAGGCCTAGCCAAGTTAAGGGATTTTGTGAGAGAGGACCAGATTTTTTTTTTTTTTAGTAATAAAGTCAGTGGGAGTTTCTGAGGCTCAAGCCCAAGTAAAGTTTCCTGCAAAAAGACTTGGCAAAGAGGGGAGTTGAAACAGAGCACTTGTCTGGGGATTTGTAAGGAAAAGGGTGGAGCAGGCTTTGTGGGTTGGAAAAAAGTCAACTTGGGGAGAAATCGTTGGAGAAAAAGGGCAGCTGGGTAAGGGTTTAGAAGTTAGATAAATGTTGGGGGTGAAGACAAAATTTATGGCTTTTGCTCTTGATGTTTACTGAGATGCTGTCGTGAGCTGTGGAATTCCAAATACATGAGATGCAGCATGAATAAAGTCCAGCTGTTAATACATCCAAAGTAAAATGTAAAAATTTTTAAGTTGTAGCTCAACTGATTTCAAGGCAGGGGGGTGCTTTTTTCCTTGGTGGTTGTCTAATAGAGTTGCTTGCAACTGTGGCAAGTGATATTTCCAGTCTCCCTTTCTTTGGGTGACACTTCATTAATTTTTTTTTTGTGTCCATATCTCAGGTCACATGGCCAGGTACACAGCCATTCTCAACCAGATTCCCAGCCACTCTACATCAGTCCGGACCATCCAAGGACCTCCTGGGGAGCCTGGGAGACCAGGCTCACCTGGAACCCCTGGTGAACAAGGACCTCAAGGTATCCCAGGCTTCCCAGGAAATGCAGGCCAGCCAGGGACCCCAGGAGAACGAGGTAAGCTGGGCCACTCCTCTCATTGGGATGCCTCTGAGATGAGCTCACAATGGTGCTTTATACAGGCATGAAGTCCAGGACAATGGACCTAAGTTAATTCTACCCCATCTCTTCTTCAAATTCTTGTTTATTTATCTCCAAGATGGAGACAATTACAAAGACACCTAAGATACCTACAAAATCTTTATCAAGAGTCACATTCTGTTCATGTGAAAAAGGAGGATGAGAACCTCTAACTCACCTCTAACAGACTTTTAAGCTAATGAAAGAAAGATGTCTCCTCTAAATGTATAAATTAAGAAAATATACCCCTTCCAGGTAGAAGAATTGGAAAATGATATTCCCCTCTGGGCAGATGGTATATAGCAAGCAAAGAGCTTTCTTTCTAGATCTGGTCCTTTTTTTTTTATTTTTTTTTTTGTGCAGTGCCCATTCTGTGCAACAGTCTGTGGCAGCCCTGATGTGAATTATGAGTTGTATTAACATATTATTCACATATGACTTTATAGATCATGCTAGCTGTAAACTGCAAATTAAAACACAGTTTGTGTCCCTTCCCTCTATAATATGAGGCAGTGTTTTATTTAAAAGTTTCCAGTGTTTTCAATGTGTTGTCTTTCCTACTAGTTTTATTTTTTTTTTAAAATAGAGATCCTATTTAGTCTTCTGCTCTTTATAGGTCTTAGCAGCATTGTGTAATACAGTAAGACTCTTTGATTGAATTTCACTCAGTTCTATAATTGACCATGATCTCCCACTCCAGAGTAGATCAAAGAGATGTGAAACATTGTGGATATTAACCACAAGGAATGTGATGGGAAAAGAGACAACTGATGAAAACATTTCCTAAGACACAATATAGAATGCAGAGCTGGGAAAAACTTAACTATTTTCTATCTTCTCTGTGAGCCATGTTACTCTTGTGAGATGGGTAGGATATATTCCTTTCATAAACTTTGTGAGTAAGATGAATATTACAAAGATCATATTTCAAGTTTATTCTTTCCAAAACAAAATTTTATTAAAATAACATTGTTTTAGAACAGTATATAGGCTTCAGGTGTACATCATTACATATCAACATCTGTTTAGAATACATTATATTCACTAACAGTCCAATTCTATTCTTCACTCTGCCCCTTTTACCTGACTTAACCCACTGCCCTCTTACCTTTCTGGTAAGTATTAATGTGATCTTATAGTCTAAAAGTTTGTTTTTATTGTATTTGATTCATTCGTTTTTTGTGTTTATGTACTGCACATGAATGAAATTATATGGTGTTTGCCTTTCACAAGCTTTCTTGATCCATGCCAACAAGCCAGGTACATTTCTGCCTCTGCACCATTGTGTGCATTGTTCTTCCCCATCTGGAAGTGTCCTTGCTTTTCTCTGTCTTAATCCTGGGCTCGGTTTAGCTCCTGTCTCCTGCATGAAGCTTTTGTTGATGAGCTCAGACCACAAATGTATCCACCCCCTGAACACCGGATACACTGACTATCTCTCCCACCCATTTTAGCACCCATAGGCTCAGTGACCAGCTAGAGTTGGTCACTGGTGAGAGCAAGGACCAGGTGGTTTGCTTTGCACAATGCTTTACACCTAACAGGTACTCACTAGACAGTTGTTCCTTCCATGTGACCCAGTGGTAGTGTTCCTTGCTGAAGTACTAAGTCAGCAGATACCAGTAGAGCATGACCCCTTTGCAGCACACCAAAGACCATCAGCAGGACACCCTGTAATGATGTGGTGATGGATGTGCTATGACTCTGGGAGCACAGAGCCAGCGCCTGAGTCACTCTCAGCAACTCACAAGTTGTGTTTGTTCTTTTTGGAAGTCCTGTCCTTGTTCTTGCCAGAGTGAGTCTTTTCTGCTCTGCAAGTCCTCTTGAATGATTAGATCAGAGGAAAATCACCCAGAAGTCCTCAAACAATGACCCAGACAAACTTTGGAAATAGGAATTACCATGATAAAATTTTCTTACATACCTACATATATATGTATGTGTATATTTATATGCCCTACATTGTATAGTAGTCACACAAAACCCTGTATTCCACAAATACATGGAGGATGACAGTAAGAAAGTGTCCACTGAGCATAAGGGATTGAAGATGATGGTGGTTGATTGCCAGTGGAGGGGAGAGGTCTGCGTGGAGCAGTCTTTTAGTGATTTTTTTTTAAAATAGATCATAATCAATAGAGTCTTTAAATTCAAAGACTTAAAGGAATTTTGCAACTCACATGATTCACATTTTCCATTAAAGTGCAAACTCCAGCTTACACTCGTCTGATTAATGGCACCCAGAATTGAAGAGGGTCCATTTTCACATTTCATTTCTGATCTGCAGCCCAATTTCTCACCTGCTTTTTCTGGCCACTGATGCCAGTGTTCAATGATGTCAAAGCAAAGCTTTTCCTCCACAGGCCATTATTTTATTGCCTCTCCCCATGAAACCCATTTAAGTGTCTTCTGTCCCTACCCCAAACTGTGACAATTATACCCACTTTCTGATTTTATCTGACGCCAGTCACAGTCTTGTGTGATTCTAACTACATCCTCATTTCTTATTCTGATACCAGCATGTAGTTTCCAAATCACTAATCAGTTTATTTCCTTATTCTATTTATTGAAATAGTCACTACCCATACTGATGTATGGGATCACATATTAACCAAATCAATAGTAAGTTTGCTGGCCTATAGTTCACCAAACTAAATTTTTTTATTTACATGAAAAGACCTAGGACATTCTCTTGATTCTGGTCTTTATGTACCTCCTTAATTTTCCATGCATTTCCAAAAAAAAAAAAAAAATACTGAATCAGAGCAACCATCCAACTAAAGATTTTCTTGTGTAACTTGTATAATCTTAACAGCTGGAATTCATATCTAGTTTATTTTGTACAATAAATCAGCAAATATTTATTAAGTACAGGGTTTATGTAATGCTTTTGGCTTGGAAGTATTTGAGATAATACTGTTATTTATGGCTTTCACTTATTAGGACCCCAATATATCTGCCAATTATTGTGCTCCATCCTATATACATACATACTATCTCATGTGGGTAAAACAGAAGATATGGTTTGGATAAGGAAAGAATAGGAAACATTCATGAATGTAAATGTTGGGAGATGGTAAAGGCTGAGTGAGTTGTGTAGAAAGCAAAATTGTCAGGACCTAGAGGAAAACATCCCTGTGGCCTTTGGTATGAAAGCGTGCTTGCATTTATTAAGTAGCAATTAATTGTCAGTTGTTTAGCACTTTATCAGTGCTCATAAAAGTCATGTAAGTTCCATATTAGCTCCATTTTTAGGTGGAGAAATGGATTGCTAGATTGTCAATTGTGCAAGGTCTTGCATTTGAACAATAGGGGACAGAATTTGAATCCAGACCTATGTGATTCCAGAATATCTGTGCTTGCGCCATTCTGCCCTCTTGCCACCTTTGAATCCATTGCTTAGTATGTGGTTTTAGTCATCATTCATACAAGCTGGGAGCCTGGCTTTGCCATTTTCCTGCTATGATATCCTGGCTGCTTAATCTTACAATTTCATCTTTCTAGATCTTCATTCATTCATCCAGCCAGCACTTACTGAGCATCTTCTACATGTCAGGCATTGTGCTGGAAGATAACAACATCCAATTTCCACTCAACTTTTTTCAGGCACTGACATGGGATAAGACATTACTAACATTAAGCAGTGGGAAGGGGTGGTCTGCATTGTAAGGGTTCTCAGGAGAAGGGGCTAATAGGAAAAAGACTTGCCTGCTGCCCCATCTCTTTCACTCATCTCCTGAGAAGAAAGTTCTAGAAAAACAAAGAGAATTTTCTCCTTTCTTAAGTGCAATTTGAATGCCTTTTGCAACAAGACCTTTCTATAAAGGTTTGATAAGTTGTGTTTTCCTAAGGTACAGTAGTGACCTTAGACATTGGCAATAAATGCTCTTTCTCTTTTGCTCTTAAAATCATTATTTTGTAGGGTGTTTTTTTTTTTTTTCAGTTACAAAGTGATTCTTATTTTGATGGTTGCTGAGATAAACTATGTATTAGGCATCTTTTATTATGTAATGAATTAGCCTAAATTTTTTTAAAGATTTATTTATTTATTTATACAAGAACTGGGGTATAGGCCAGATGCACGGGAGGGTGAGAGGATTCACCAGAAAGAGAGAGAGTGGGGAACAGAACAGGCAGACTGACGAAATGCACTGCTGAGGGGAGCAGTGGACGTGACAGGAGAGATCTGCCATGCCATGTGGGACCCTCACTAGCTGGTCGGGATCAAACTGGCGCTGCAGAGGCTGTGGACAGCTTCACAGCGCTGCCTTCAACTGCCTGTGCCACCAAGGGAGGTCTGTAGCCTAAAATTTAGTAGTCTAAAACAATAAAACATATATGATCTTGGTTTGTGTGGGTCAGGAAGTCAGGAGAGCTCTAGCTGGGTGCTTCTAGCTTAAGGTCATTCATGAGGTTGTGGTCAAGATGTCAGCCAGGGCTAGGATCACCTAAAGTCTTGACTGGAGTAGCCAACCTGCTTCCAAGATGGCACCCTCAGAGCTGTTAGCAGGATTCTCAGGCCCTCCCTGACTGCTCCACTCACGTTTAGCATGAAGTGGGCCTTTCTATAGGGGGGACTGAATGTTATTTCAACATCCCTGCTCTTTCCTCAGAGTCGGTGATCTAGAGACAGAACAGGGAGGAGTTCACAGTGCCTGTTTTAACTAGTTTCAGAAGTTACAAGCTTTTATTTCTAACCTATTTATTAGAAAGGAGTCACTAAACCCAACCCAAACTCAAGTAGAGAGAAACAAGGCTGTATAGTTTGTGGGGTTTTTTTACTGTAGTAGTTTTATTGAGGTAATTTTGGTTTACATCACTATGTGATTTAGGGGTATAGGTTCTTATCTCTACAGAGTAGGCTGTACATTTTGAAAGGATTATCACAGAGTTTGTGAGTATATATTTAATCACATTCCTCCAAATTAAACTAATGC